AGACATACTATACCATTTCCCCACCATGTTTTAAAATTATCTTAATCAGAATGATGTCTCTGCTGTTAATCGAGCTGTACAGCCTCCCCCACCTTCTCTCCCAAAGCTATTTCCTTGGCTCTTTTGCTCTTCTCCCTCTGTGACAGCTCGGACTAGTTACAACCTTGAACACCAGTTCTAAATGGATGACTCAGAACTCAATTTCCTGTGTCTCAGTCTTCATGCTTTTGTCTCCCATCTCTCTTGGTTTTGCTCTCACCCCCTGAGACACAAAGGACACCTCCTGTGCTCTTATGGACTTGGTATTTCACTGAAGTGCTAATGTTTGAGAGGAAGTCAGCACTGAAGGGATTAAAACTGGGGACAGGCCCAAACCAGAACCTCAAATCCACACCACTGTTGGCTGTTCTGGAAGGAGAAGATTTATACGATCTGAAGAGAAACCAGAGTATTACTACATTGGAAATGCAGCTCCCCTAATCCCATGCACCAGTTAGGGTATTCAGATGGGAATTCACCTTTACAATTTTGATTCAGAGTCAGCTCCAAATACCATAAGAAGCCTAATTTCCAAATCTTATCTGCTCATCCCTTCTCATCTTTAAGTGTGAAGTAATATGCATTGGAAAACATAATCCCAACTATACATACAAAATGATGGGATCTAAATTAGCTGTTACCACTCAAGAAAGACATCTTGCAGTCATCGTGGATAGTTCTCTGAAAACATCCACTCAATGTGCAGCAGTAGTAAAAAAATCTAACTATGTTGGGAACCATTAGGAAAGAGAGATACAATAAAACAGAAAATATAATAATGCCATTATATAAATCCCAGATATGCCCATAGCTTGAATACTGCATGCAGTTCTGTTCATCCCATCTCAAAAAAGATATATTAGACTTGCAAAAGGTACTGAGAAGGGCAACAAAAATGATGAAGGGAATGGAACAGCTGCTATATGAGGAGAGTTTAAGAAGCCTAGGACTGTCCATCTTAAAAAAAAGAGATGACTATGGGGGATATGATAGAGGTCTATAAAATCATGAACCATGTGGAGAAAGTGAATAGGGAAGTTTTGTTTACCCCTTTTGCATAACACAAATATGAGGGGTCACTCAATGAAACTAAAAGGCAGCAGGTTTAAAACAAACAAAAGGCAGTACTTCTTCACACAAAATGCACAGTTAACCAGTGGAACTCATTGCCAGGGGATGCTGTGACGGCCAAAAGTATAACTGAGTTCAAAAAAGAATTAGGTAAGTTCATGGAGGATAGGTCCATCAATAGTTATTAGCCAAGATGGTCAGGGGTGCAACTCCATCTTTTGGGGGTCCCTAAATCTCTGACTGCTAGACTGACTGCTAGTTGGTACTGGATGATGGGATGGATCACTCAATAATTCCCTGTTCTGCCCTCTGAAGCATTTGGCACTGGCCACTTTTGGAAGACAAGTGACTGGGCTGGATGGACCATTGGTGTGACCCAATATGTCCATTCTTATCTTCACAGCTTCACGAAAGCCTCTCCAGCACTGCTTTTACATTTTCTTGCTGAAAAGCAAGGCAGGAATCTTCCTGTGCTTGGCAAGGATGTGACCCTGAACTCTGTCTCATGCCACAGCATAACCTTATACCATCTATGTACTCAATGGCATAGCTCAAAAGGTCTTCCTCAGATTTCCACTGACCCACCACAAAAATGTTACATGTCTGATTTGTGAGTTAGAGGCATAGGGGACTTATCCTACCACAATTAAAACAGACACTGTGTTCACAGTTTGGAATTATTTATTTACTATTGAAGATTTACATTTGTGCTGTAATGTCCGACACGATTCACAAGTCTCATGCTCTCCTTTTGTGCCTTGGACTGTGAGTACAACGTAGACAACCAAAAGCTGGTTCTGTACAATAAAAACATCAGTGAAAGGGGCTGAGTAACCAGAAGAGCTTGGTCATTCCTGTTGGAAGGCCACATGTCACCACTTTTCTGTGCTGTTCAATATTCTTCCTTCCTTTTGAGACTTACCAATGAAAAGAACTATCTGACTGCTAAGTATTATTATTTCCGATAGCTCATCACTCTGTTAACTTTCAAGAGAACAAAATTCAGTTGTGATTGAGCTGAACTTTAAAACATGTAACATGTTCCATCTCAGCTCTTTAATTAGATCTAATTAGACCTAAACTGACCTTCACAAAAGTGCAAGAAATGAGGCCAAAGCCACATCAGTTCAGTGCCTTTGTTAAATTTGTCATAGTGCTAGTAAATGTCATTGTGTTGAAGTCTAGCCTCTGTTACTGATGTGGATTGTACCCTATTTTCCACCTCATTATTGAATCACACATGAATCATGCATTTGCTGGTGAATAACAATTGACAACTTGCACTACACAGTACATAACAGAGAATCAATAACTCTTTACATTGTGAAGTGGAGGTAATTACAAGTTAGTCCAGTATGTACTTCAGCTGGACATAATAGGAATCAAGTAATGCTGGTTGCAATTGTAAGATAACTGAATTTCCTGTGTATCATTAAATGATAAAAGAGGGGCTCAGTCTGGAATCTCAGATCCAAATCCCAGGCAAACAGTGAGGAAACTTGAATTCAGGGCCTTCAGCTCTTGGGCGTATCTCTCTAATGGAGCCAAACTACAACCTCCTCCCATCTTTAATAACCAACAATGTTTTCCAGCTATCCTCCCTTACTTCCATGCTGGTACATTGATTCAGCGCTAACTGAGAGAACAGAACTATCCACACAGCTGGGATACAGCACCCTACAGTTACAGTACATATTGTAACAGAATAGATGGTTTTAGCATCTCCATGAGTCTTGTGCGGGCTTTTCCTCCATCTTGTTCAGAATTTTGGCTCTTGCTTATTAATTAAGCAGCAATCTGTAGGCCAGGGAACAAACTGTGAATAATACTGGTTTAAAGTGACCAAATGTGGTGGAGATTGGGTAATTGCTTAAGTATTCCAGAGCTATGGACAGTATGATTATATCTTTAGCCCCTTGAATGCCTTGTCCCCAGGCATGTCTCTTAAAGGTGAGCCCGCTGTTTGCAATGGAGTGGCAGGACAAGCAGGGAGCTCATAGGGACAAAGCAATATCTCTTTGATGATACCCCTTCTGTATCCCAAGACATGGAAAGGAGTGTAAATAATTACACTTAAGCCATGCCAAATCTCAAAAGCACAAGAGAAAGGTGATGGTGAGTTAGTGGGCCAGTGAAGAGAAAGTCATTCAGTCCTGAGATGATGTAGTACCTGGCAGCCTTCTGGGCTGCTCTTCTAAGCAGTGCTGGTAACTACGATTGGGTTTCAGTATGGCACCTCCGCATCAAACCCAAACTGCTGGTGAAACAATCCTATGTAATTTACTCAGTCTCATCTGCTTCCTGGAACATAATCAGAATATCCAACACCTGCTCACTTCAGAAATGAGTCTATTTCTAAGCAGAAAGGATGGCAGTAAGTAGAAGGATTTGTGGCAATTCATTGGCAATAACCGGATAGAACACCGTCAGTGATTTTTCTGAATTGTGGGATGGATCTCCTGTTCCGTTCATTCCCTCTGGGGCCCCTGGCATTGGCCACTGTTGGAAGACAAGATACTGGGCTAGATGGACCTTTGGTCTGACCCAATATGGCCGTTCTTATGTCCATGACCTGCATGTGAGAGACAGAGAGGAGAGCTCCCCCAAGAACACTGGGAGAAAGAGGGATACACTACTTACACATATAGATTTGGGATAAGAGACCTTGAAGCTTTCATGTTTTCAATGGCTTTTAGCAACCCTAAATCCAAGATATCAAAGACTCCAGCAACGAAGGAACAGGAAGGAATCCAGACACGGGGTTTGGCAGTGCTCACTTCAAAGGCTGGGTATGTACAGTACACTATCAGGAGAATACCTCTGCTTCTTTGCCTCTCTCGCTCTTTTTATATGATCTACTCTCTCTCTCCATCTTTCTCTGTTTTTCTCTGTGTTAGTCTACTGTCTTTTTACGTTTCTGCCTCTTTTTCCCTTCACGTAGCTTCTCTCTCTTTCATATCTCAGGAATCAATTTATTTTTGCTCTCTTTGTTCCATACAGCCACCTAAAGCAATATGGAAAACATTGACTGCAAAATGGACACAACTATTGCAGAGACCACCACCCCAATGGGGGCTTTGGTGAGGAAGGTTTGTGGACTGGTCAGAAACCTGGGACTGAGTTATAACCTTTTGGCCCATCTATTTCCATTACTTGGTTTTTTCACAGGAATAGGGACAGATTTTAAGTATATACCAGGTGGAAATGATAACGTGTGTGTTAGCATCTCTAATTTGGTGAGGTCGAACCATGCAGAGAGCCCAGTCGCTTCCACTAGAGAAGCTTGGCTGCCACATTCTGAGATAGGAGAAGGCCTGAGTTTTGAGCCTGAACTCTACGTTCCCAAGAGGAGCTCAGAAATCCAGTGTTTCTGAAAAGAGACTTATGATGGCAAAAACGAACAAAGGGGGGGTTGTGCCCTTGTTTCATTTTGTATTCATAGAAAAATTCTTCTTGTACGTGTTAACCTTAGAAATGTTAATCTGCGCTTCCCGGTTTTGCTGGCGGTCTCTGTAGCAGAGGTAGACACAGACAGGGAGATCTCTCTCTGCCATTAATTGAAGGGCTAGAGGTGTTAAACCTTTAACAAAGAGAGCTTTTCTTCTAAACGGTTTGTCAAGTGTTTGATTTTAAAAATGTTAATAAAAAGACAAAGTGGTTTGAACACTGTGAATAAAACTCACTTCCCCTCTTACCATAGAAGGGAAACCTGATTAAGTGTGCTGTATACCTGCTAGCTCTCCAGTCATCTATAGAGTCTTCAAGGGAAAGCAGGGTAGATAAGACCTGAACATATAAAATAAAAAATAAGCAGAAAACTAACTAACTAAATAAAAATCAGGCCTTCTTTCTCCATCATAAAGCAGTAAATAATAGCGCAAGCCCATTTTTTCCCTTTTCAGCTCACCTTTAAATATAACGCATACAAAAGCCTATCTGAGAGTCCCCATTTATTTTCACCAGTGGCTTTTCAGTGTCAGAATCTTGTCCTTGTAGAAGTTAGAGGTCTGTTGGGGACATGCATTCCATCCCTAGGAGAGCGTTCAGGACTGACTCTTCCCTACAATGTAGGCTCCAAGACTTTGCCTGGTCTAGCTTGAGAGAGTCCTTGTGGCAGGAAACCCGAAAAAGGCAGTGTCCATAACAGAATGCTGTGATTGGTCATTTTGTGGATGGGTGTGGTTCACATTCCTGCAAGATGAAATATAACTTGGCTTACTCCTCCTGACTCAGAGACCTCCCAGTATGAAAGGCAGTTGGCTGGTCATGACAGAGATTGCATGGCTACATATGAAGTTGGTGCCACATGGCTATCTGCCTCCTGGGGTTCCTCAGCATCTCCTCCCAGTGGTTCCTCTCTGTGCCTGTGGCATGCAGACCCAGGCTGCACTTGCCCAGTGATTGGCTCTGCCCCAGGCCGTCTTGGCTTAGCATTTCTAGCTCCACGCTGGAGGCGCGAAGCAGCTCATGGGGCACTTCAAACATGATCATCTCATTCCAGACTGGGTTGATCTTGTGTTTTGCACGCTTTGTCTGCTTCTTCTTCAGTTTCAGAGACTGGTGCTTCAGGGTCACCTTGACAGATACATCTGCATGGGAAATGAAGGCAAGAAAGACACCACAGTGATGAGCACAGCACAGGACAGGCAGAAAGTCATTAAAAGAGAATCTGAACTAATGACTATAGACCAAAGGAAAAGCATATGAGCAACTTCTAATTGTTTTCTCTCTCAAAATTATTTTAGTTATTTTTGCTTTTTAATCCCAGTTTATTAAGCCCAAGATGCCCAGGAAGATGTTATAAAATAGCAGATGCTACAATCTATTCAGACGGAGATCAGCATCTGAATCTAGAACACTCCTTTGGAGTTCAGGGAAGTTTAAAGCCAAGGCTTTTGTGTACCCTGGGATAGAGCTGAAGGCCAGAGATGGAATTTAGGACACAGATATGGGGTTGGATTCTGAACACCTCCAAAGTTTGGGGTTTCCATCCAATATTCCATCCACAAAAGCAATGGGTCCCATTTCCCTACATGGAAAGAACCTGCAATGGGAAAAGGAAACTGCTGAATTCTAATATGAATTTTTTTGCCAGAGTGGACATGGTTCGTCCCATGTTGAAAGAATCCTATGGATTCCTTCCTCAGCCTACAGATCCCATGAGAACACAGGAGGCAAGAAGGATTCACAGTGATGACCTTTGCCTCCCTTCTACCACCTGGCTATACAGGTCTTGCAGGTGCATGCTTCCAAAGACTTTCCCGCCCTTCCCATAAGGGGATGTGGTGGGACGTTCTGCAGTGCAGAGGATGAAGCAGTGCAAGTTAACGTAGCCTCAGGGTTGCAGGTTGGAGGGAAGTCTTGGAAGAATATAACTGACTCCCTTTCCCTACCCTACTCCTTGAAGGCCTTCAGATGGGTCAAGGGCAAGAAAGGATCATTATACACAGGCAGAACTCCTTCTTTCACAGGAGAGTGTGGCGAAGCATCTGAAACTGCTGTGCACTGCTTAGCAATATAGTAGCAGGGCTGCTGGCTCTTGCTGAACCCCTTCTGCTCCACCCTCTCCTTGCCTGTCCTGAAACCACACCACAAAATGCAGTCTTTGCCACCATTGATTTCTGTAATTAGACCATTAATGGTCGTAGAATGATACAGTTACAATGAATAGGCAGGTGAATATATGACTATGTACTGTGTATCTAGTATATGACTAGGGTTTCTAGATATGGGGACGAGGGGCATTAGATTAGATTGACTGTATTGTAGGGTGACCAGATGTCCCGATTTTATAGGGACAGTCCCGATTTTGGGGTCTTTTTCTTATATAGGATCCTATTACCCCCCCACCCCCTGTCCCTGTTTTTCACACTTGCTGTCTGGTCACCCTACAGTATTGACTCACCATAAATCAGATCACCCTGGTTCCATTGTGTCCTATAGAAATTTGCCCAGTTCCCCTATTGCTGTTCTTCACTCACCTTTTCCCAGGAGATCTTTCAGCTGTTTGGAATGGAGGTTCTTGGCTTTTATGAGCACCACAAGCAGGCGGTTTGCTGCTGGCAGATAGCTGATGGAGAGGAGTATCTCCCCATAGCCTGCATCTGGCTCCTAGAGTCAAGAAGAAAAGCATGAAAGAAAGGCAAATTCAAAATCCAGTCTTGTCCATACCATTGAGCAATGTGGTGCCAAAGATCAATGAGAAACTCTCAAATGCAGCAAGTCACGTTGTCTCTGGATCCTAGCCCTATTACACAAGGATCCCCAGTTAGACTAGTTGAGGTCTGATGGAACAAAGCAGAGAGGAGGCTCTTGGACAGAACTCAGCTGAAAGGAAGTTCACAGTAGTGCTCTCCTCACTGATTCACCTGACTGTGTGGGTTAACCCTTTCATAGCTGCTGGAAAATAACTGTTTCCTAACAGCAGCATCATTCAGTGGGACATTTACTCGAGAGAATGGAGAGTCAGGATGTAACAGATATAGTATGCTGGGCAGTACCAGAAAGATTTAAACAGAGAAATTTAGCTGTGTCCTTTAGCCTTTATTCTTTTCTGACAGATTATCCCGCAGCTGCCTTTCCAGTTAATTCATGTCTCTTGCTTTGATTATTTCCGTTGGTGGTAATTTGTTCCTTATATCAACTACCCTTTGTGTGAGGACATTCTGTCTAAACTTTAAGTCCTGGCTTTAAATAATCCAGATGGGCTATCCCCAGGGAAAGAGAAGAAAATGCCCATGGGTACCACAACACTAACTTACACTCATACACCGAATGAACCAGAGCTAGTCACTTAAGCTTGGAAGGGTATTTTAAAAATATATGTATAAAATCAGCACTTGTGCCATTTGTTTTGCCAAATCTGAGAGTGATTCCTTCTATTTTCCCAAGCTCTAGTTCAGATGTGGGCAAACTACGGCCCGTGGGCCACATCCGGCCCGTGGGACCGTCCTGCCCAGCCCTTGAGCTCCCGGCCGGGGAGCCTAGTCCCTGGCCCCTGTCCCGCTGTCCCCCCATCCCCTGCAGCCATGCCACCGCGCAGGCCGTGCTCTGGCCCACCACTGCCGCTGGGCAGCGTGGGAAGCGCAGCAAGCTCTGGCCGGGTGTCGCGTCTGCGAGTTCCTGCTGCTGGTAAGGGGGTGGGGAGCGGGGGGGTTGGGTAAGGGAGCGGGGGGTCCTGGGGGGCAGTCAGGGAGGAGGGGCGGTTGGATGGGGCGGAGGTTCTGGGGGGGTGGTCAGGGGATGGGGAACAAGGAGGGTTTGGAGTGGGAGTCCCAGGGGGCCTGTCAGGGGCGGGGATATGGATGGGGTTGGGAGGGCAGTCAGGGAGCAGGGGGGTTGAATAAGGGGGTGGGATCCTGGGGGGCAGTTAGGGGTGGAGGTCCCGGGAGGGGGTGGTCAGGGGACGAGGAGCAGAGGGCGGTTGGATAGGGGGTGGGAGTCCTGGGGGATGGTCAGGGGACGAGGAGCAGAGGGTGGTTGGATAGGGGGTGGGAGTCCCGGGGGGGTGGTTGGGGCAGAGCCAGCTCCAGGCACTAGCTGAGCAAGCAGGTGCTTGGGGCGGCCAAGGGGAAGGGGCGGCACGTCGGGCTCTTCGGCGGCAATTCGGCGGAGGGTCCCTTGGTCCCTCTCGGAGGGAAGGACCTGCCGCTGAATTGCCGCCGAAGAAGAAAGCGGCGCGGTGGAGCTGCCGCCGATTGCGATCGCAGCTTTTTTTTTTTTTTTTTTTT